GTAAGTACGCGCTGGAGGACAGTTACGAACGGTCACGGTTACTTTTTTTAACCGTGGGGACAGGAGGACCGACTTATGTTTCGCTTCTTGAGGGACACGTGTATGTGCTTCGCTCTGGTTGGCACGCAGACGCAGAGGGGGGTGGCGGAGTATGATATGATGCCTAACCGATGTAGAGCAGCTCTCCGTGGCGTCCCGGCGTCTGAATCCCGTGTTCGGTCATCCGACCGAGCTCGCTGGAAGGTCCCGTTATGATTAGGCGTTCCAGTATCAAAATAATACGCCAAGCTCGCTACATCCTACGTCACTGAAAGTATGCGACCCGCGACCCCCAATCCCCTGCTCGTCCGGTCCCCCCCATACAGATTTACCCCGTTGCGTCGTCCGCGGAACCGCACAGAGCAAAGCCGTCTCGGTTCACCTGGAAAAGGAAGACAGACTGACCTGCCATCCCTGAAGAAGCAGGCTGCGGTCCACGGAGCGCAGCCACGTGACGGCGTCGCCGGCCTGGAACTCGTGCAGGCGCCGGCACCGGGAGTGCAGGAAGATGCCCAGGCACTTGAGCAGCTCCGATGTGGAGGCCTGGATCACGGTCTTCCTTGGGATGGGCAGGTTGGTCTGCACGCCATGCGACACTTTGGTGGGCTGCTGTGCCTGGAGCTGCTGCTGCTGTAGCGACTGCTGCGTCTGCTGCTGCTGAGGCCCGGGCGCGACCATCGGGAGGCTCGCCTTGGGGGCCAGCTTCTCGCTCAGGCCGTTCTGCTGGTTGTGGTTGTGCGTCCTGGCCGGGTGGTGCACCACTTCCAGCGCGCTCATCGACACCGTGTTGGTGGAGGCTGACTTGACCACGGGGTAGTACGAGGTCACGCCCGTCTTTTGGAAGTTCTTGTTCTTGTCCACCACCACGCCGTGCGCCAGCGGATGGTGGATGTTGTCCACGATGGGCTGGCGGAACGCCGTCAGGTTCTTATTCTTGTTGTTGTTCTTGTTCTTATTGTTGTTGGTCGTGGAAAACCGCTTCCAGCTGAGAGCGTTTATAAAGAGCGAATGCTTCTTGAGATTCTTGTCGAGGGTGTTGGTGTTCTTCTCGCACAAGATGCGCGTCTCATTGTTTATGTTGTTGTTGTTATTGTTGTTATTGTTGTTGTGGTGGTGGACGTTGGCGGCGTGGTGCGAGGAGGCGGGTGGGACCTGCAGGTGCGGCGCCGAAGGTGACGGTGACAGCACCTGCACCTGGGGCAGCACCTGAGGCGTGGGTAGCTGCTGCTGGTTCTTGACGTTGTTGAGCTGCTCCAGGCTGTAGTTGTTGAGCGTGTACTCCGAGCCGAGGCCGGGCGTCGACGAAAAGGAGTTGGAGGGCCCCATGCCCCCCGGGCGCCTCTCGCGCGGGCTGAAGCTCAGCACCGTCCCCATCGCGGTGCTCTACAGGGTCATGCCCAGGTGCAGGGCGCGGGTGGCGCCACTAAAGCAAGATGGCGCCGCGGCGCTCCGCTCGCGCCCTCTCTCTCTCACTCGCGGGGCCCCGCCGCTCCGCGCCGCTCCGTCTCCCTCAGAGGCGCGGCCCACACGGCCCGACTCCCGACCCTGTACGACCCTGCCCTGGCCACGGATCGATGAGAAGTCTTACGACCGCCAGCGGGGTGGAGGGGCTGGCGCGCGGGCTGGCGGGGAAGGCCGTGCACGCGTGAGCTGTTAGGAGGGCTCTACCCTGCTGCACGCCGACGTCCTCGTCCTGCGTCGCACTGCCCTGCTCTGCGGTCCTGGAGGCACGCGGCGCTCGACACCACCGCGCACGCACACGCACACACAAACACACGCGCGCGGACCACGGGGCACCAACGGGCACTCGGACGACGCGGGCACAGACTCGACGCGGCGCGTCCTCCGTCACGGGCACGTCACGCGCAGGTCACGGGCACGTCACGCACAGGCAGGGCAGAGGACACAGTGATGCAGGACGGACAGCAAGCGGGCGCGCGCGAGCTGCGCAGCGACCCTCGGCCGTCAGACGGTGGTCCGCAACTGGAGGGTGGCCCTAGTGCCCGCCCCGCCGCGCCGCGCCCCGCGCCCCTCGCCCGG